TGGGATTTCAGTTGTGACTTTACTCTACTGCTCTCTACATCTATAGCTCTCTGTAGTTCCCCCCATGTCCATGTATACATATATATCATATGTTAATCTCTTTATACAAACATCCTTTGCAGAAGAAACTATACATTATGTGTGTTTGTGTGTGCATAAAATGAAATTTTAGATATTTACCTCATGCCTCTAATAACTGCTAAATACGCATCACACACGACTCCAACGAGCTCTATCCTGTAGGGTTTTCTCTTCTTGCCACCTTGAAGTTGTATTTCTTCTTCGCTGACTCTCTCCCAGTAGTTCTCAGTTACAGCCCCATCTTCCCCAACTTTATAACCAGCTCCCATTCGATAGCGGCGACGATGGACATTCCTCGCCATTGTGATTGTCTGCACAACAAATGGTACCCATGAAAGTGTACCGTCCATTATTACATCACGTCCTTCATTTAGCGCAGTCACTAGAAGAGATGATGCTGCATCTGTAGACGACTGATGCACCTGCATGATCATACTTTTATTTATATAATCATGTTCCAAATTAAGAAATTAAGTTGGTATAAACTGAGATGTGTATATATATATATATATATATATATATATAATTGTCAAGCTTACTAGTTCAGCTGTACGAATCATATCTGCATGACCTCTAGAGCTAAGGGCCTTGTAAATCACATCAGATTCTTTGAAGGCATCTGCCTCGATTACTACTGTGTCTGCTCCAATCCAAAATGGTCTGTTCGTGTTTATTTATTATTATTTTTGTTATGTTATATAACTTTATTAATTATATTAATTAATATTGAAAAAAATGACCTTACTCTTTGAGAATGTCTTTAAGCACAGTGCTTTTGCCTGCTCCCATCCCACCGCCCATGAATAGAAGAACTGGACTTCTATCGCTGTGTGCCACCGGAGCCATCACCTCGGTACATTGTGAATCATCAGTTGATGCAAGTCCCATTGCTTTCATTTCCTCTACTAATGTGTTGAACACTCTTGCCACTTTCAGATTCTTTGTTACTCTCTCAAATCTCTGTTCCCTAAACCACAGAATCAAGATTCATGTTCTTGATGTCAGCCATGTCAATTGTAATTATATATATAACCATATCCGATAACAATAATCACTTACCGAGTTGCTGCCATGACAATGTGTTTGAGCTTCTTTTTGGGCTCTGCATCAGCGCTCAGCACCTGAAGTTATTACCAAAATTTTTTACATAACATTTTATTAATTAAGTGGCTGCATATAAATAATAAGATAACCTTTCAATAAGGACATATAAAGTACATGACTCTAATCTATATCCTCGTAAAGATGACTAAAAATACTAACTATATGTATAGCGAACAAATAATTGATATATACATAAGAATTAGATACCTGACTAATCATCAGA